TTGGGGCCAGGGAGATGGCTCAGTAGAATAAGCACTTTCCTGGCAAGCGCAAGGGCCTGTGTTCAATCCCCGGTTCCGCAAAAAAAAAAAAAAAAAAGAAAAGAAAATTGTTGCTACGGACAAACAGCTCAGTTTAACTCAACAGAAATGTCAACTGAATACAAAAAGGCAAATGTAGTAAGTTTTTCACTTCTCATGAGTACATAATCTTTTTAAGTAATCTCTCTATCTCTGAGAAAGGGAACCATGGAAGAGGGTAACTTTGCTTTCTGTGCCAATGGCAATGTAACAGAAAATTAAAGGCCATGTAATCGAGTTTTTTTTTTTTTTAATTTTTTAAACATTTCTTTATTTACTGTGTGTGTGTATGTGTGTGTGTGTGTGTGGCCAGCTCAGCCCACCAGGGGGCGGGGCTGGCTGGCCTGTGGTGCTGGGGGATTGAACCGCAGTCCCTGTGCTTTGCCAAGCTTGTTCCAAGTAGGTGCTTTAGACCATTGAGCCATCTCACCAGCCCCCCATGTAATCGAGTTTTAAAATCTTTTTAGAACATTTAAGTCAAATGTATTTCCATCCCTTCCAGGAGAAGGAAGAAAAGCTGAGGACAGAAAGGGAGAGAACTGCCTCCAGCACCACCACGCCCCTGCACAGCCCCACGCAGACCAGCATGCAGCGCCACAGGCCGACTCCAGCCTGGCTTAGCGGGTCTGAACTTTATCCCACTTCCATAGGCACTCTCATAGCTATGCCTATAACCTTAGTTCTCCTACTCGAGGAATCTGCTCCATTCTCTACTTTATTAGATTCCAAGTAGTCAATCACGAGTCACTGTTGCATTCAATCTGAACACACAGGTAACTCACCTGTAGATCGTATGGCTTTCCTGCCCTCACTAAAAAACTCAGTAATATACTGGTGTGTGCAAAATGGACATTCTCATCCAAGAACCCATGTAAGAGTAGTAAACGATTTGGTCTGGAGAAATAAAAACATCAGAGGATTAGGTAAAATATTACAGTCTTAAGGGAAACCATTTTTTTACACTAATTACACTTAATGATACTAACTTCTTAAAGTATAGAATTAAAACAAGGATTCAATATTCACAATATTAAATTTGAAATATACTGACCCCACACCATACAATCAAAAATGAAAAAGATTATTTGATTTCTTATTAAAATATTAGAATACATCAGTAATTATAGTGTGCTTCTAGAAAAAGCACTTATAAAAACAAAACAAAAAAAAACAGTATGCTCTTCAATTCAGCTTTGACAAATAGCCATTCCATTCTAGTAGTCTATAAAACATTAAATCTTTTGTATTTGCATTTTTGTTACAACTTTTTGAAATACAATTTATAATTGATAACCTTAATTTTTAAGCTTGAACTTACTCAGAGGGGAACTTTTCTGCTTGCATGGCCACAGATCCTAGGTAATAGCCCTGCTCATTCTGGTCAGGGTGACCCATGTAACGTTCCGTGTATCCTGTATCATAGAAGATCCACAGAGTGACTGGGGCTCCGGCAATAGCAACCTGCACAAGACAACATTTACCAGGCAGCTGTTCCAGAAGAGGAGCTAGCAAGAACTTAGAACTCACATTCACAAGTTAAAATTATCCTCAGGCTCAGCGCCACTATCGGGCATACGTGGTCTCGGGAGACAGAGAGCTCAGCAAGCTGCCAACGTCGCACATTCGATACTTTGTGAGTCAGTGAGTTTCATGTTCCCCAGGAGTGCCACACACCAAAGTCTTAGCCTGGGCCAACCGAAATATAAGCCGTGTGTCCCATGATTAAAAGGGGAGAATGACCTAGAGAATACAAATGCCTTACAAATACTTCAGTGTAACCTCATCCACGCTACTAGAAGGAAAAAGCGTAACTGTCTACTTTTTTTAAAATTTTTATTTATTTAATTGTGTGTGTGTGTGTGTGTGTGTGTGTGGCCAGCTCAGCCACCAGGGGGCGGGGCTGGCTGGCATGTGGTGCTGGGGAGTTGAACCGCAGTCCCTGTGTTTTGCTTAGCTTAGCTTGTTCTAAGTAGGTGCTTCAGACCACTGAGCCATCTCACCAGCCCTGTCAACTTATTATAGGAAAAACAGCTATTTTTTTAAAAAAAGATTTGGTAGGCCGGGGAGATGGCTCAGTAGAATAAGCGCTTGCCTGGCAAGCTCAAGAGCCTGAGTTCAATCCCCGGTTCCGCAAAAAAAAAAAAAAAAAAAGATTTGGTTAGTAGTACAGATTTGTTTTTTTGATGGTTCTGAGGATTGAACCTAAAGCCTTCTCACTGAACTATATCCTCACCCCTCTTCTTCTCTTTTTTATTTTGAGACACGATCTCACTACATTGCCTTGGCTGGGCTTAAAATTTATAATCTGCCTCAGCTTCCTGGAGTGCACTAGAATTAAAGGCATATATTACCATGTTCCATGGTAGTACAAAATTAACTGATTTTTTTTTTTTTTTGCGGTACCAGGGATCAAACTCAGAACCTTGCACTTGCCAGGCAGGCACTTATGGCTCTGAGCTATATCCCCGGCCCTTTTTTTTTTTTTTTTTTTTATTTTTTTTATTTTGTGTGTGTGTGTGTGTGTGTGTGTGGCCAGCTCAGCCCACCAGGGGGCGGGGCTGGCTGGCATGTGGTGCTGGGGATTGAACCGTGGTCCCTGTGCTTTTGTTTAGCTTAGTTGTTCTAAGTAGGTGCTTTAGACCACTGAGCCATCTCACCAGCCCCACCTTTTTTTTTTTTGAGACAGGGTCTTGCTATGTACCCCAGGCTGGCCTTGAACTCATAGCAATCCTCCTGCCTCAGCTTCCTGTGTGCTGGGATTATAGCTGTGTGCCACCACACTCAGCAGTAGTACAGGATTTAAAACAATGAATTAACTCTATTTAAGTACTGAAAATTTACTTCTTAATCTTAAGGCTCAAAAACAATTTTATGTTTAAATTATGAAAGAACAAAAACAATTTCATTTTCATTATTATTATTATTATTATTATTGTCTTTTTGAGACAGGGTCTTATTATGCAATTCAGGCTGGCTTTGAGCTCACTTTGGAGCCTAGGCTGGTCTCGGACTTGCAAAAGTCTGCCTCAGCCTCCTAAGTGCTGGGATTATAGGTGTGCACCCCCACACCCAGCATCATTTTTGTTCTTGTTTTTGTATTTTAGGGAAGGGTCTACAGGGTGTTCAGGTTCTCACTACTAGATCTGACTCATAATGATCTGCCCGTTTACAGCCTCCCAAGAGCTGCGATTCCAGGCACAGGTTACCACACCCAGTCTCAATTGATGTCTCAGTGCGCCCCAAGGGCAGGGCCCTGCATGGCAGGCCCAGGGATCAAGCCCCTGGACCCTGCATCTGCTTGCAGGTGCTTTAATCCACTGAGCTATTTGGCTGGCCCATCATTTTTATTCTTTTTTTTAAGTACAATATTCAATTTACTATTTCTTCTTTAATAGAGTTTTCTTCAGTCCATTAAAACCCAGCTCCCCTTATGTGGGCTTTGGTGGAGGAAGAGGGGCAGCACCAGCAGGTCTCAACCGGTGTGCCAAGTGTTATGACTGGCTGCTGAGGATAGTGTGTCATGTGGCTGAGATCCTTGCCTGAAGACTTGCAGTCCAACAATTAAGTAATTATAATCCATCACACATATGTGTGTTTTATTTTTTTATTTTATTTATTTTTTGGCGGAACCGGGGATCGAACTCAAGGGCCTTGTGCTTGCCAGGCAAGCACTTATCCTACTGAGCCATCTCCCTGGCCCGCGTGTGTTTTATAATCACAACTCTACCAGTCATAGGCTGTCTAAAAATGACCCAAAAATGGTCCATTAAGTTGACAAGTGTTTAAAAAAATTATGCCAGGGGCCAGGGAGATGGCTCAGTAGAATAAGCGCTTGCCTGGCAAGCACAGGGCCTAAGATCAATCCCTGGTTCTACAAAAAAAAAAAAAAAATTATGCCAGCACTTGAGATACCTATTTCATATGGCTATTAAACATAACCCTAACATAACACAATTTAACTAATTCTGTAAATATTCAGAAGATTTTTGCACAACTTTTTAAAAATTAATTTTATTGAAAAACAAATAGCAATGAGACAGTTTCAAAACTGATTAATATGACAGTTTCAGTAATTAATACATTGCATATTGTCTTTGTAGTGGTTATTCATAGTATGCATGACTACCGTTATTTACAAAGTTGAGTAAAACAGGAAGGCACATACCCTGAAGATGTCAGACCTCTGCATTAACGCCATCAGGGAGAGGTAGCCCCCATATGACCAGCCGTGGATGCCCACCCGATCCAAGTCGATGAAGTCATACCTCGAGGCTAGATACTGGAGCCCTTCCACTTGATCGTCAATTTCTATCTGACCCTGTCAAAGAAGAACACTTTACTGATTTTGAGGCACACACAAGTCTCATTGTAAGAGTGCTTTTAAAGTTAAGTTGATGTGTTATCACTAAAAATACCCGAAGGTTTTTTAAAGGTTAAAATTCATTAACAACTAATATTCTGTTGCCCTCCGCCCCAAGAAATTAAAAAAAAAAAAATCTACTCAGAGATGGGGGCTTCTACTGTGAGCCTTCCTACAATTTAGCCATCACTTAGTCCTGAAGTCTTTTCCTTACTCTTGGGTGTTTCCCATTTCCATTTGTTCTGTCGTCTGCTCAGAGACCAGCATCTTCCTTGTAACAAGCCTTCCCTATACCCAAGGGCAAAAAATTAGCACCCTTAAGAGACTGCTTAGTTGTACTTAATGCAGTAAAGCAGAGGGAAATCACCTGCGGTCCTAATTCCTGCTTCCCATGATACCTCTCAAAGGAACTAAACATGCTCTTTTCAGAGCCCTGATAAGTCTTTATTCCTACTGTTGCCACCTATCTACACACTTGGCCTGCCAGTGCGTACAATCTCACTTCACTGAGCCAAAACCAAAAATTAAAACAAAAAAACTTACATGAGAATACAACATAAGGTCAAAGAATTGGCTGTGGGAGAAAATCCCCATGTCTTACTCAGCATGTCCAATACACTGGCAAACACAGTAACTGCTTTACTGTGCAAAAGGCACATCGGATTGTCATCACTTCCCACAGCAGCAGAAAGCACATGGGGCATCTCTAAAAGGTAGCATTTAAAGCTTCCTGTAGAGAGAAAGAGGCTTGTCACAAGGAAGGCACTAACCAGTCGGTTTCCCTCTTCACAGAGAACAGAACAAATCTCAGTTACTCAACAGTACACAGGATGCCAAAAGCTGAATGGTGCTGCCTCCTGGCTGCTAAATGGAAGGGGCTCTCCCTCAGCACCCCAATGTTACAGAATGGCAGACGCCAGCTAGCCTAGGGCACATCAGATTGCACCTTCTCCCCATCCCACAGTGACACGCATGCATGCACCCACACGTGCTCACAGGCCCTAGGGCTTTCTCTGGATTTCTTTTTTTTTTATTATTTTTATTATTTATTTATTTATTTATTTTGTGTGTGGCCAGTTCAGCCCACCAGGGGGCGGGGCTGGCTGGCATGTGGTGCTGGGGGATTGAACCATGGTCCCTGTGCTTTGTTTAGCTTAGCTTGTTCTAAGTAGGTGCTTTAGACCACTGAGCCATCTCACCAGCCCTTTCTCTGGATTTCATATCAAACAACAAACCAGAAAGTGTAAATGTCTTTAAAGTGTTTTATGTTCACACACCATTTTGTATTTAAAGGCGCCTTCAAATTTTAGCCCTCGGTGACAGGATCCCCTGTTGTCTATCACCACAACCACATAACCCAGAGAGGCTAGGGTATTCAAGCGGAAATACTTGACTCCTTTAAACCGGTTATTCACCAATTGAACCTGCAGAAGAAATAACAAGTTAGGGAAATGTATCATATGGGAGCATACAATCCACAAGATGGGGCACTGCAAAAAGAAGAAAACTTAAAATTTTAATATTTTTGTCTTTAAATGTGATTTTAAAAAAATACCTGGGCTCAAAACCAGGAGCACTGGATCTATAGCTGAGCTACATTCTGCAGCCTTTTTTCACTTCAGAGAGCATCTCGGTAAGTTGCCCGTCTGGGCTTAAACTTGCTATCCTCCTACCTCAGCCTGCAGAATAGCGGGGATTACAGGTGTGTGCTGTTATGCCCACCATGAACCATACTCAATGATAGTAATTTAATACTTGATCATCATCCTTGAGATTTCACAGCTTATGTAGTTATGTTACTTTTTATATTTTGGACAACTTGGCGTTTTGATACATTTTCGGACACCACTGAGTCCAAGACTTGCACTATGAAACATTGCAATTACATTCTAATTTCCTTAAGGCCTTGTGCAAGATACAGCGGTACCTCAGTTCACACATGTTTTGGGGTATTTTTTGGGTACCAAATCAAACTCAAGACCTCATGCCTTACCACTGAGCTCCCATGAATGCTTTTGTCTATGAATAATCTGGTTCATACGGGCCAGGGAGATGGAACAAGCGCTTCCCTGGCAAGCGCAGGGGCCTGAGTTCAATCCCCGGTTCCTTAAAAAAAAAAAAAAAAAAAAAAAAAAAATCTGGTTCACAAATAGATGTATTGGGCAAAATTTTGTTTATGGATGCTGCATCAGGTGATGAACACAACTGAGGCCATCTCTCTCACATGAACACAAACATGGTCCTCTTTCCAGAGGCATGGAACAAATTAAGTTCCGAACAGAGGTACTACTTATTGTATTTTTCTACAGGTTGTCACTGCGTAGACTGGACTCGGAGCGATCCTCCTGTTTTCAGTCCCCCAAGAGCTGGGATTACAGGCGTGCGCCACCATGCTCAGTCTCAATCACCATCTCAGAGTGCCCTGGGGACGGGGCCAGCACGGCAGGCCAGGCATCAAACCCCAGCTGCAGTGTCCGCCTAAGGAGGTGCTTTAATCCACTGAGCTATTTGGCGAGGTACTACTGTATATGGCTATGAGTAAACATTTAAAAAATTAGCCAATTTATCTCCCAAAGTACTTTACTTCTTTATCGAGCACCATTTACTTAATATGCACATACTAATATTTAATCCAGAAAATGGAAACTCAATGTGTAAACTTCTGGGGGTTCTAAGGAGCTATCACTAGCTGATAGAAGTACTTTAGTTTGCTTGAGAGACCAGCCATAGAATGGAAGGGCAGGAATTCACTAGACTACCAGAGCTTTCTGTTTTTTGGTTTTTTTTTTTTTGCAGAAACGGTGATTGAACTCAGGCCCTTGTGCTTGCCAGGGAAGCGCTTATTCCACTGAGCCATCTCCCAGGCCCTAGAGCTTTCTGAAAATATAAGACTATTTTTATTTACCAAGACATTTAATTATTCATTTTCAAATTCCAAACAAATTTCTGTACATAGGAATATATTTACCCAATGACATGAATATTCCATTTCCCCAACAGTTGTATTGTCATTATAAAGAAACTCAGAAATTACTAGATCTAGTACTCAGCCATTTGAATTTAACCACCCAGCTTTGTGAACTTCATAACTGCATAATTACAAAAGATGAGAAATAGGAAAAGCACAGCACTGCTTAAAATTCTTTTTTTAAAAGACAAGAGTCACTTTGCAGGGAGGTGGGCCCTGAATTCACTATGCAGCCCATGATGGCCTTGAACTTGGGGTGATGCCCCAGCTGCACGCTTCCACATGCTGGGGTCACAGGTGTGCGCCACCACACACTGGTTTCAAATTCATGTACTGAATAACTGACCAGACCATTTAAAAAACAAATCACCCAGAAGTATTTATATATGTACATTTATATGTATTTATAGACACACCTGAGGACCTCCATATATGAAGAGCACAGTGGGGTATTTCTTTCCAGGTTGTAGATCATGAGGTTTATACAGCATCCCATACAATGTAAATCCAGTAGTACTTTCAAAAGAGAAAATTTCTGGGGGAGTATAGTCAGGAAGAGGACCTGTGGGTGGCAACACAGAATCTGTAAATATTCTCATGGAGCCCTGTAATCTGAGAGCAAGGAAGAAAATATCAAAACTTAGAACTCTACATAGAGGTAATTGACTAAAGTTTTTTCAGGTGAGATAAGCAAGAAATGAAACAAAAAATCCAGGCATGGTGGCCAATGCCTGTAATCCTAATACTGGGAAGGCTGAGGCAGGAGGATCACACCATGAATTCAAAGCCAACCTGGGCAATGTAGTAACCGTATGTCTCAAAATAAAACATTGAAAAGGGCTGGGGATATATAGTTCAATGCTCTCTTGAGCTCAATCTCCAGTAGTAGAAAGATTTTTTTTGGTGGGGGGGAAGGGTCAGGATGCCTTCAGGGCAGGTCTGGTTTGGCGTGAGGATCTGGGGATGAAACCACAGCATCCTGAGCCTGACTGCTTTGTCTAAGCAGGCACTTAACCAACTGAGCTAATGGGTAGGCCCCCAATCTCCAGTAGTGAGTGAGTGAATAAATAAATGAATAAAGCAAGCTGATTCATAGCACTATTCACTTCCACACAGAGCAAGTATTCCAACTTTTACTGCAATAGCCATTGCAAGTACTTCAAAACTGAAAGAAAACTGTGAGATGGTTATTCTCTAAAGCTGCTGTCTCCTGCTCAAAGCCGCTCTCTACCTTACTTTACAGCCTTCCAGACCTGCTCCTGCTGAGTGAGAAGTAACCTATATTATCCAGGAGCTGATGGGGCGGGAGGACCAAACAGAAGCTCAGCAGCTCATGGACAGAAAGTGCTGAGAGATGGGAAGACTTTGTCCAGAAAAAGTGCACCTATTTCCCAGGTTTAGTGCATTAACTGTCCTTTTTGGAGTGCTGGGGACTGAACCTAGGTCCCTGTGCATTCCCGGGCAAAGGCTCTATTACTGAGCCACAACCCAGCCCTGTACTGGTCCTATCTAAGGCCAGGTTCGGGGAATAGAATACCTGCTGAATCCAAGATGGTGGCCCAGAATTCCTTTGTTTTGCAAGTTGGGTCATCTTCAGAGCTTGACAGTTTGTAAAGGGACACACAGTGTGGATTCTTCTGGTTACTATATTTACTTATAAAAAAGTCACAATGCTAGAGGAAAGAGAAACAATTATGTTCTACTTCAAGAAAAAGTCAAACAGGTTATTTGGTGTTACACCTGCACTAATGTTACAACAGGAATAAAATAAGGGTTTGACTATTTATATACACAAGGCTGAAGTTAGAGTTAATCATTTTAAAGCTCCTAATGAGGCTTCTGCCAACTTGACCAATTTTCACATCATTCAAAAGGACTCTTACAAAGGTGGACAGTTTCTACATGCAAAGAAGCCCTTTTCAAACAGGGACATCATACCCGGCTGATGTAGCAGGAGTGGGAATAGCCCCGGTCAGTTAATCTTGTCACTTCTCCAGGGTTTACATAGCTGACCACATACAGATGGTGTTCTAAAGGGGAGTCTTTGGTGCCTTCAAAATACACCAATCTTCTGACTTCATCAACCTGGATCTGCCAAAACAACAAAATTGGTACTAGCATCACCTTGGCAAGGCCAGTAATACTCTCAACTAACTACCCTCAATTTTATTCAAAATCATTGGGTCTTCTTGATTTGTGTGGCTTTTCTTTTTCAATCTATGTTAATATACTTGAGTTGGTTTTATGACTTATAGGTAAGAACAGATCCTGTCCAGAAAGAAAAAGGATGCCTGAGTTATGTACTGTATCATTTCCTATCTGGTCAGAATGTGTGCTTTTCTTAAAATATGATAATTATTTCTTTAAAGTAACTTCACAGGAAAAAAAAAACCCTCTGTTGCAGCTTAAGTCAACTATTCATATATACAATAAAACCGGGGCCAGGGAGATGGCTCAGTGGAATAAGCGCTTCCCTGACAAACACAAAGGCCTCAGTTCAATCCCCGGTTTCACAAAAAAGAAAAACAATAAAACCTCAGATTACTAGTAACTTGTTCTATGGTGTTCCTCACGATAAATAAATTTTGACTTGATTAGTGAGGGATGTTCTGCAGTACAAATAGACACGATGCTGAATGTCATATGGTCACCACCGAGCCAAACGTTTGTCCCCCTGTCTCTCTCTCTCTCTCATGCTTTTTTTGTTCTTGAGCCTGTCAGGCAGGAGTTGTACCACTGAGCTATACCCCCAGTATTTAGTCTCTCTTTCTCACTGTGGGATCGTGGGTGACGATCTCCTGACAGCAAGAGGTCATGGAGCAGACCTCATCTGCAGAGGGCAGAAATAAAGACAGGACTTCCTCATTCAAGTGAGACTAGGAAGGTGTGCAAAATGCGGGAAACAGTGCAAAATTTTAGAGAAAAGCACCACCCAAATAAAGCTGTGGCATGGAAGCAACAAATCTGTTTCACAACAGTGCACGGTCACATTTCTGTGAAATCCTCAAAAGGAGATAAAACCAGGTGCTGCTTGACAGGTTCTTTGTTAAAGCTGATTTCACTGAGCCGACAGATAGCAGTGATTCTACTAGTGACAGTGACAGTTGTCTTACACAGCTATGAAGATTAGTGAAGGTCAATTTATTTTTCTTTATATTTTGTATTTTCTTTATTATTTTGTATTATATTACAGTAATCACTTTTATATACTTTATATTATTATTATTATATTATTATTATTATTATTTTTTTTTTTTTTTTTTTGTGGCTAGCTCAGCCGGCCCTGGGGGCAAGGCTGGTATGGCAGGCATGTGGTGCTGGGGATCAAACTGCAGTCCTTGCGCTTACCTAAGCTTGCCTAATCAGGCACTTTAGACTGTTGAGCTATCTTGCTGGTCCAATCACTTTTTCTTCTTTCTGTATTTAGGAAAGGGTCTACAGGGTCTTACTACTTAGATCAGACTCACAGTGATTTTCCTGTTATCAGCCTCCCAAGTGCTGGGTTTACAGGTGCATGCACACCATGCCCAGTCTCAATCGCCATCTCAGCGTGCACTGCAGACAGGGCGGGCATGGTTCACCGAGGATCAAAACCCAGCCGCTGCGCTCTGCCTAAGCAGGCACTTTAGCCCACTGAGCTACCAGGCTGGCCCTGCCCAGTCACTTCTACACTAATATTTTTGGGTTGTGGAATAAGTCCTCTAACTTTCCATTATTTCTTATGGGGAAATTTGCTTTACAAGTGCTTTGGATTACAAGCATGTTATGCTTGCAAACCAAGGTTTTACTGTACTTGAAAGAAAAAAAAAATTAAAATCTATATTTCTCAATTAGTGCTGTATTATCTCAAGCAATCCTACATCTGTCTTCTGTACAAAAATGCAGTGTTGGGGCCGGGGAGATGGCTCAGTGAAAGAAGTGCTTCCCTGGCAAGTGCAAGGGCCTGAGTTCAATCCCCAGTTCCACCAAAAAAAAAAAAAAAAGCAGTGTTTTTATCCACTGGGTTGGGGAACAGTTGAACTCACAGTTTCAAGAGAGGTATACTTCATAAGTAAGTCCAGTATGGGTAAGATTTTAATCTTTTTTCTTAGGGTTAGGGTTCAAGATTTTAATCTTTTTTTTTTTTTCCAGGGTTTGAACTCATGCCCTTGCGCTTGCCAGGAAGCACTTATTCCACTGAGCCATCTCCCTAGCCCGCAAGATTTTAATCTTTACTTGGTGCTGTAGATCAAATCCACGTCCTTGGATATGCTATACAAGTGCTTTGCCACTGAGCTACATCTCTAGCCATGCATAAAATCTTTGAAGTAATCATTCAGATTTCAAAAAAATTGCTAGTAAACTCACAGCAGAACTCAATATTCTTGTCAAGTTATGGCAATAAATAACTTTCTTTTTTTATGTATGTAGTACAGTGTTTACAGGGTCTCATTACAGAGATCAGACTCAGTGATCCTCCTGTTTTGAGCCTCCAAAGTGCTGGGATTATGCTGGGATTATAGGCGCATACCACCACACCCAGTCTCCATGTCTCAGTGCTCCCGGGGGTGGGGCTGGCAGGGCACGTCAGGGATAAACCCAGGCTGCTGCTCTCTGCCTAAGCAGGCGCTTTAGTCCACTGAGCTATATGGCCAGCCCAACAGTTTTCTTTTATTGTTGTTTTAAAAAGTTTTCTATCAGTGTACTCAATGTTTGATAAAACTCAAATTTTTTACATACCAAAGATAACACAGATATATTTCAAAAGCAAGTATTTTTAAATATCTCATCTTTTTTCAGTAAACATTTTCATCGTTTTACATTTCTTTGGACACATAAACACAAATTAACACAGCTGCTATATGAAACAAAACATTCTAGAATCTTATCTCTCCAAAAGACTAGTTCTGTTCTTAAGCAGCTGGAAGTCGGCCTTTCAAAGTTTAAGAAATAATCAGTCAACTTTTCACTCTCACTTACAATGGTTCTTTATTCTTTTTTTTTTCTTTTTTTTTTTTTTAACATAACTACTTATGTTCACCAGCATTAGAACCTCTTGGGCTTGCTAAACACACAGTGGGCTCTGTGACCACAGTTTCGGCTTTAGGAGGTCTGACATGGCCCAGACTGCATTTCTACCAAGCTCCAAGGTGATGCTGAGGTTTGGTTGATGGCCCAGAAGCACACTTTGAGAAACATCAAGAGTTAAAGGCACATAAACTGAAATTGCAAAGCTTATTCCCCAATGATTGCCATTTGAAATCTTTGAGGGCTGGGAAGACAGCTCAGTGGCATAGTGCCTGTCTGGCAAGTGTGAGGTTGTAAGTCTGACTCCTGGGACCAAAAGAAAAAAAAAAAATCTTTAAGCGACAACAAGCATCCTTGGCAAGCGCAAGGGCCTGAGTTCAATCCCTGGTTCTGCCCCGACCCCCCAAAAAACAAGTGACAACAAGGTCACTTTTAGAAGTAAAAAGGTAACTTAAAGACAAAAAACATAATAAGGCCATAGGGAAAATATAAGAAGAGGAAAGACAAAAATATGCCACATTAAAAAAAGCATCACACAAAGAAAGCTGACACAAGGACTGGCAAATAGCCATTTGGGTCACCTGAGTAAGTGTCAAGATCCATACAGATCAGTGAAATTTTCTCTTACTAGAAGTCTCTAAACAGACATAAACACATAAATATAAAACTGTATATGTGCACATATGAGACTTTCACTGCAAGGATTTTTGGGGGGTACCAGGTACTGAACTCAGGACCTTGCACTTGCTAGCAGGTGTTTATGCCACTGAGCTATCTCCTTAGCCCTGTGATGAGACTGTACAGGTTGTCTACAATATTCTAAAGTTTTTATAAACAAAAACTAATACAGGATGAGGATCTTCCTTCTTTTACTTGAATCATCTTGGGGGTTACACTATTTTTACAGTAGCCACTATATGACATTCTTAGCTTGTAAATCTATCAATCTGAGGAATTCATACTGAACCGTTGTTTAATCCCAGTAGTACACATCATCTTAACTGTAAGAGTCGAGCACACAAAGAATGAAGTCTTAGAGAACTGAGAAACTGGCCACCCAATTTAAAACGAACACAGGAAAGGTGCCTTGAAAAGCAAAACAAGTCACCGGATTGCTACAGAAAGCCACTTGTCATGAGCAAGACAGCATGGCCTTCTCCCTTCTGCCCAATCTAAGCTCTATATGTGCCCCGCCCTCCTTGTAGGTGGTGGATAAAAGTTTAAATCTGTGACAAGATAAATAGATGAATCAAAGAATCATGAACTCTGAAACAATACATGAGATTTCTAATGCAGAAATAACACAATTTGCAACAGATTTAAAGCTCTCAAATTATACCCTAACTCTTTGCTTTCACTAGAGACTGGTAACCTTTAGTAACCACTGCACATCTAATATTAGGATTACTAAATATATGAAATTTGTAATTTAAACTAAGATTCTTCTTTCCAACAACTTGAGTCCTTTTATGACCTAAATATTTTCAAACATTGAGGTCATATTAAGTTGCACTGCTGATTTTCAGCAGTACACACATGTAGCAGATGCTGACCCAACCTTAGCAGAATAAAAGGACATACATTAGATCCATGCCGACCGAGAACTTCCCATTCACCACTGGTAATCGCTATTTCCTCTTTGATAGGACACTTGAAATCACCTAAAGATAAATACAGTTACAATTTAGTACTTTAGCCAGGCTATTAACAAATAAAACAATGTAGAATAGTGTTCTAAAGTGTTTTCACCAAGAAGTTGCATTTAAAAAAAAAAACAAAAAAACAACTGAATTATGTTTCTGGGAATGAAAATGTTCTGGAGCTAGACCACAGTGATGGTCGTGTAACACTGTAAATACTATGTGACAATAAACTGCCATCTCTTTGTCTGCCTGCCTGCCCGCCCATCCATCCAACTACCTGTTTGTGGTACTAGGTGTTGAACCCAGAGCCTTATCTTTGAGTCAGGGTGTCACTAAATTCCTAAATTGCCCAGGGTGGGCTTAAACTCATAATCTTCCTGCCTCAACCTCCTAGAGTGCTAAGATTATAGACCTCTGCCATCATGCACAGCTGGGTTGTTTTATTTTATTTATGTATTTATTTAATCTTTTTTTGAGACAGGGCTTTACTATGCAGTTCAGATTGGCCTTGAACTCATTTTGTAGCCCAGGCTGGCTTGGAATTCACAGTGATCCTCCTGCCTCAGCCTCCAGAGTCCTGGTATTACAGCGTGTGTGCCACACCTGGCTGAGTTGTTCTATGTTTTTTTTTAAATGTATTTGGTACAGAGTCTCATTGTACAGCTCAGACTCCTGGTGTTCCTCCTATTTTCAGTCTCCCCAGATTGGGAATTAGAGGCATGGGCTACCAGGCCTGGAGTAGGTTGCAGCTCAGCATGCCTGGGGGTGGAGCTGGTATGGCAAATGGGCCCAAGAGTCAACCCCTGCCCCTGTGCTTGCCTAAGCATGTGCTTAGTCCACTAAGCTATCTCACCACTGGCTGAGTTGTTTTAAAGTGGGTAATAATAATGGAAAAGATAATAATGGAAATTTCACTTTAATTTTAAAAAATGTATAGTTAGTTTTAAAAACCCAAAGTTACTAGTTTTCACAATACTTTGAAATAATGATAGAATGATCCATGTAGATAATACAAAAACAGGGGGCCGGGGAGATGGCTCAGTAGAATAAGTGCTTCCCTGGCAAGCGCAAGAGTCTAAGTTCAATCCCCAGTTCCTCTCCCTCCAAAAAAAAAAAAAAAGATAATACAAAAACAGTCAAACCGACTTATGACAACGCTGGGAAATAACTCGAAAGCACCACAAACTGCTGGCAAAGCATACCTTCTATAAATGCAGTCAACTACCCTCGTTTGTTTTTTTGAGACACAGTATCCCTCTATAGGGCAGGTTAGCCTTCAGCTCTCTAGATGGCCCAAACCTAGAACTTGTGATAATCGTCCTGCTCCAGTCTCCAGAGTGCTGTGTTTATGTGCCACCACACCAGGCAGATCCCAATTTTATTATTATTTTTTTAATCATTTATTTATTTATGTGTGTGTGTGTGTGTGTGGCCAGCTCAGCCCACCAGGGGGCGGGGCTGGCTGGCATGTGGTGCTGGGGGATTGAACCGCGGTCCCTGTGCTTTGTTAAGCTTGTTCTAAGTAGATCACTGAGCCATCTCACCAGCCCCAGACCCCAATTTTAAACATCAATTTATATTTCTTAGATACAAAAATTCAACTTGTGCTTTAAACTCTATGAACAAAAAAATAAAAACTTTAACACATAGATTACAAATACTGACAGTTTCACATTATTGCCACCTGAGAGGAGGGGAGATGAGGTAGACATAAATGAAGGAAAAGGAAGAAAACTTGACCAAAAACCAAAACAAAACAAAAGCTAAAGAAAGAATAGGAAAACCAAACACAGAGAGAAGAGTAGATCTGAGGGTCGCAGAGCTCTGTAGACCCTGACAGGACGCAGAGGCTTGGTGCTATGAGCATGCTGACTGAGGGAACAGCTTTTCTTATGCTCTTCAACTGGCATACCATATTTTAAGTTATTAATTTCTTACTATGGTTTCAAAAATATTGTTCCAGTTAGTGAGGCATTTCTCACAGCTCTCTGGTCTTTATCACTGGCCTTTCTGGAATCCCTTACAGGGATTTAATTTCTGAATTATAAACAATTGGGAAGAGCAATTTCATACTTAGGGATAAGTTACGGCTCTAAAGAAAGAAAACCCCATTTAGGATATGTAAGCTCTTGCCTGCCTTGAAACGAGCAGGCTAAAGAAAGGAGCAGAGTCATAGATAGTATTTCCTTTGCTAGACTCAAGACGTAGCTTACTGCTTCCCAACACAGATGATAATTACAAGGTCACCTTAAATAAAATAGCAACCCAATTAAAAATGGGCAAAGGACTTGAACAGACATTTGTCTAAAGATACATAAATTATCAATGAGTGTATGAAAAGATATTTGACAACATAATAATTTGGACACTAAAATCATCTCATTCACTAGTACGCCTCTTATAAAAAGTCCATTGCCTGGCAAGCACAAGATCCAGAGTTCAATTCCCAGTACTAAAAATAAAAAATAAAAAATAAAAATTCTGCTAGTTGTCAAGTATGCAAAGAAATTAAAAGTCTGTGTTCTGTTGGTGGGAAAGTAAAATAGTGCAGCTGCTACCAACAGTGTGACCTACCAGTGGAGTAACCACTAGGGAAAACAATAGGGCAGCTCCACAAAAAGTCAAACACAGAATTACCATTTGATTCAGAAATGCCACTTCTAGATATATAAGCTAAAGAACTGAAAGACAGGATAGAAACAAAAATTGTACACTCATTTCCATATTAGCATTATTGACAACAGTCCAAAAATGGAAGCAACCCACGTATCTACTAATGGACACTGGGTTAATGAAATAGGCCATATACATACATGGAATAGTATTCACCCTTAAACCCCTTAAAGGGAAGAAAGACACACGTTACTGGATGAAACCTGAGGACATACTACATGAAATAAGCCAGTCACAAAAGGTCAAATACTGTACAACTCTTAAATGAGGTATTTAGAAGGTTTAAAATTCATAGATACAAAAAGTGGTCAGCAGGACCTAGGGATAAGGGGAATAAGCAGTTGCTTTTAGTAAGAATTTTCAGTCTTAGAAGATTAAAACAATTCTGAAAATGGAGACTGATGTTGTTAAATTGTGTCCTTAAAATAGTAGTTATTATATACGTATTACCAAAATTTTTAAAAGTCATGTTAAGTCTAAGTTATATATGGCAGTTAAGCATTTAATATAACCTATTATAAAGTGCTTACTACTCTAAAACTATATTATTAAAGTCAAAGGTTGTAGCTCGGTTTTAGAAAAACTTAGGAAAAACAATTGCTGTACCATTTTGCTTTGGTTCTGCAGTGCTGGGAATGGAACCCAGGGCCTTGGGCACGCTGGGCAAGTGCTGTGCCACCGAGCCACCCTCCAACACCTACCCCACATCATCTTTTTTAGGCTTATGTGTACATTCTGCACTACATGTTCCAAAAGGCCAGCCATCACTTTGCTTTTTTTTTTCCTTTGAGACAAGGTGTCACTGTGTAGTTCAGGGTGGCCTCAAACTCACAGCTATCCTCCCACCTCCCAAGGCTAAGATTACCGGCATGCACCATCACACGTGGCCCAGCTAACCATCACTTTTAAAATGGAAATTAACGTTCGCTGATACAATATTTAACTTTAGGTAATATAATTCTGTCAATCTGAAGAGCCATAGTTACATATTAAGTTTAGGGTAGATGAAGAAACTACAAGAGAAAGAGTGTGTAGTGGCGCGCGCCTGTGATCCCAGCTTGTGGGAGGCTGTAAACAGGTGGATCACTATGACTCTGATCTAGTAGTGAGACACTGAACACCTTGTAGACCCTTCCCTAAAATACAAAAATAAAGTACAAGAACATCTAGTGTATGTAAAAATAGCTAATAATTATATAACGTTTTATGTTTTTGCTGATTGGCTGTGTAGCGCTAGGACTGAACCTTATTCAAGGCTTTCACACTTTTAGTTTTCTCTCTCATACACTGTGTGTGCATGTGTGTGTGTGTGTGTGTGTGTGTGTGTGTGTGTGTGTGTGTGTGTGCATGCATGCACGCACAGTATTGAGTTATAAACTCAGGGTCTTCACACTGGACTACATGCCCAGCCCTTTTTTATTCTGACAAAGGGTTCTGCTAAAGCTGCTAAACTGCCCAACCTGAGCTTGAATTCACAGTCCTCCTGCCTCAGCCTCTCAAGAGTCCTGCGATTACAGGAACATGCCACTATACCTGGCCTCTTTCTATTTTTTTGGGGGGGGGTGCGGAGCCGGAGATTGAACTCAGGCCTTTGTGCTTGCCAGGCAAGTGCTTATTCTACTGAGCCATCTCCCCGGCCTCTTTCTATATTTTTAAAAGTAGTTTTTTTAAATGTAAAAATAACATAGGTTCACTGCAGTCAAAACAAATGTATACGGTAATAATAAATCTTACCAGTTCCCAGAGATTATCCATTATTTATTACATACCTAACAAGAACTTTATTCTGTTTTCACACATCCATACATTTATATATAATATAATGAATTTAAATATTAACATTATATATTATATATTAAATTTAATGAAACAAGTACTAATACTCATAAAAATACAAAAAAGACCCTTGTATTCTCCTGTTCCTCCCACATTCTATACCCAACATTTTTCTTCCCTTTTTTAAATATAAAAAGAACTTACTTGGGGCAGGCAGCCCACCACTGGATCGCTTATATTTGCTCTCCTTTAAGATGGATGTGATTTTATATAAATGACGGAAACCTGTTTTGCATTCAGAGGCAAAAATAAATTCAATTTCATCTTCACGAGTTTGGGGGAAAACATGAAAGATGTCATGGATCTGCAAAATGAATAACTTCACTTACTACACACAGTGATGAGAACACGAGATAACGCAATCAAGACAGAGAATGGTGAGTTACTTGATAAACAGATTTTGAAATATAAATAGCTGTCAGTGCTAGGGATGGGGTATATTTAACATAATAGCACTTTCCTTGTCCTTTTCATATTTATTTTAGTTTAGCCAAAGAGTTCTCCATTGATAAGTGTTTCCAAATGGAAAGAAAAATGATCAAATGCTTTTTCTTACTCAGCAGCTCTGTAATCTGTAGAACACGGCACATGGTTTGATACAACTTTTGCTACAGGAATGCTGAGGAACACTATTTTCTTGTTTTCCACAGAAAAATATTCTAATAGTTGAGGGAAAACAGATGTTAGGTGAGGCAAATGAAGCCCATAGTGAAACAGAGGATGAGCTGGGTTTATTTATTTTGTATCTTGTTTAAGCTTTCATGCTAAAATGGAAAAAATTTTAATTTAATTAAAAACTAGCATATTTTTGTATAGCTTGTCAATTTAAAAGATGAGTCTGAAAAAAAAAAAAAAAGACTGTCTGGTGGAGACCCAGCGCCCCAAGTCCTCTCCAAGCAAGGAGTGCTGCCACTGAGTCTGCGCACAGCAGCTGTCCCTTCCACCCCAGCCCCGCAAGTGGGAGCCACATCAAAGGCCGCTGCAATGGCATCGACTGCATCTGCTAACTGCTCCATTCTGGAACCATTGCTCCTATTTGAAATGTTCAAACTAAGAAGATAACATTCATGGTTCTTCTTAAAAAAAAAAAAATCATTTTGATAGTTTGCTATAAAATTTCCTTTATTTTAGTATTCTGGAAAAGTATTTAGCCAAGTACAGGAAAAAATCCATACATTTATCCAGATGTCTGTAGTTTCTTCATAGATAATGAGTGGTGTCACAGAGTCAGGCACTGATTCGATGAGCCTCTGTCTCTCCATGACATCATCCTCTACTGGGATAAATAATTCAGGCGAGATCAACACTATCTGCAGGCGAGTTTGGGAACGATCTAGCAGAATGGACCAAGCACTATTTAAACAAATAAAGAAAAGAACCAGAAATAAAGCAAGGTCTCAGAAAATGAGCAATCCCCTATTCACTTCCTTCATACCTAATATTTCTATAGTTACAATGAAAGAACTGCTTTGCTTTACTATATACATTATTACATACAAATAACTAATTAAAAATGCACTTACTTTACAAAGTTAAGCTGGAAGCAGGCATGGTAGTGTGTGCCTGTAATCCCAGCACTCTGGGAGGCCAGGGCAGAACAACTGCAAGTTAAGAGTCCAGCCCGGGCAATTTAGTGAGACCTCGTCTCAAAACAAAAATCTCTAAAATGACTTTAAAAATTGGCCCAGTTATAAGGTCCTCGGTGTGTATGCGTGGGTAAAGCCTGAGGGGAGAGGATATAGCTCGCAGGGAAAGCACTTGCCTCATGCGCATGAGACCTGGGGTGGAGGGGATACTGAACAGTTTTTGACTGTTTTGTGATAATGGAGATCATACCTGGGGATGCTTACTGAGGGCTGAGTTAGATCTTGAGCCCTTTTTATTTTGAGATAGGCCCTCCCTAAGTTGCCCAGGCTGGCCTTGAACTTGCAATCCTTGTGCCTCAGCTTCCTGAGTAGCTGACATTAACAGAACATACACACCACTGTGCCCAGCTTGAACAAGGTTAAGAAGTAGATTTCTTTACCTTTCCAACTCATCCTAAATCATAGTTGGCCTTTAAAACTGTTATTTTTTTGTTTATTGTCTACATATGTCAGTGTCAGAAGATTATTATCTATATTAGACATATATACTTGCAAGGTTCTACAAAGATTTCTGCCTAAATTACATAACTCAGGCCCTTGCGCTTGCCTGGGAAGCGCTTATTCCACTGAGCCATCTCCCCGGCCCTTACACAAGTTTTAAAAATATCACATTTTATGTCTGAGCTTTAAGTCACACAATTAAACCATAACACTGAACCATACTGGCTAAGTGAGAAAATTAACATGCAATTCTACATATGCTTACAGGTCTACCTACTTTAGGAAAAGGTATCTTATGCAGAAATAACTATATTGAAAGTGCACAGTTCTAGCTTTCACCTCAAGGCAAACCTAACTGCACAGATATTTCTAAAGCTCTGAATCCTACATTGTCTGGAAAGAGGTCACAATTTAACATACGCACTATTTTCCCTCTGGAGTCCATCCAGCTCTGGCAATATATTCAACTCCTTCAAATAGAATCTCAAAAGGCTGAATTAGTTCTTTATCTATGACATCTATAATCTAATAAAAAGGAAAAAAGGGAATTTCATTACAGATTTAGAAATTAGCTCACTAGACTACTTAAGCCATCATCTGCAACAGGAGAACACTTTATACTACAGTATCTAAAAAGGCAAAAACCCTTTAGATACCTATAGTAGGACATATTATTCCTAAAAACAAAATAAACTTCTAACCCCAAGGATAAGCAGAATCTGAAAAGATTTTCCTTTGAGTTTATACTAGTAGACTTGTTGACAATAACTGATATAATCAAGATTTAATCACTTTACGATCTAGTATCTAAAAAGAGACAAACTCCCCCCACCAACACACACACATTTTAGCTTATATTAGGACAACAAATAAAATGACCCAGGGTAAGCAAACTTTTGTCCTTTAAAGGTCTAGAAAACAATAATTTGAAAAATAAGTAATTTTTAAAATTAATGAAAGGATTTGAATAGTCCCCCAAAGAAGATATTCAAGTGTCTAGTAAACAGGAAAAAAAAAATGCCAACATCATTGGCCAGTAAGAAAATATAAATCAAAACTACAGGGACATATCACTTCAAACCTACCAGGATGGCTATAGTAAGTAAGATGGACAATCGTAAGTGTTGGTACAGAGAAATTAGAAATTTAGGGTTACAGAGCAATTAGAAATTTAGGGTTACTTTGGGAAACAATGTGGCAGTTACAGAAAAGATTAAAGAGCTATTATATGATCCACCAATTCTACTCCTAGTATGTTACCTAAAGAAATGAAAATACAAGCCCAGAGAAAAGCCTCTATCATATATACATATTGAAGCAGTTTTTGGTCCTAACAGCAAAAAAAGGGGAAACAACCAAAAAATATCTACTGATAAATGGATAAATAAAATGTGCTATTCCATACAACAAAATTTATTAAGCACAAGAAATAAATGAAGTATACTTGGGCTGCGAATGTAACTTAGTAGAATGGCAGAACATGGGAGGACCTGGGCTTCGACCCCCAGCACCAAACACACAATGTGTGGGAGCGGTGGGACAGGGAGAAAGACAGCACAGAAAGTAGATCAGTGCCTGTCAAGGACTAGAGGATTTGGGGAGCTGAGGGGATGACAACTAAGGGGTGTGTGGGTTTTTTCTGAAGTGACAAAAATGTTTTCAAAATTAACTGTAATGGCTCAATTCTGTCAATGTTAAAAACTTCTGTCAAAGTTTAAAAGCCAGTGAATTTTAAAATTTAAATAAGTGAACTGTACTGCCTGTAAATTGTATCTCAGTAAAGCTGCATTAGAAAAATTCTAATAGGTCTGGGCATGATGGTGCACCTTTTGTAACCCCAGCACAGGGGGCGCCTCCAGCAGGTGGATAGCAAATTTGAGTGCAGCCTGGGCAACGAAGCCCCTCAGTGAGGCCCTGTCTGAAAATAAAAAATGTAAAAAGGCCAGGAGATGTAGCGTGGTGCAGTCTCAGTTTCAGTTCCCAGTACCACCAATTCTAGGAGAGAAGGCTGCTCTTGAGCGCACACCTCGGTGAGTTATAGCCTAAGGAGCTCTGGGGTCTAGGCGGAGCGCTGCAGTACAACAGGAATGGGGCACCATGAGACAAAGGCAGGCCACCATTCAAATCACCCTTTCTTTTTTTATACTGACTTAAAAAATTAATAAAATAAAGAAAAACTATTGGAAAAGGAGTGGTAAGTATGCCTACTCCCATATTCTTATGCATGTGTGTATGTGCAGGCTCACTACGTAGCTCAGATTTGTAGTGATCCTCTTGTTTTCGGCCTCCCTAGAGCTGGGATTATTACAGGCGTGCACCACCACGTCCAGACTCCATCTGGCTCAGCATGCCCAGAGGCGGGGCTGGTGCAGCATGTGGTGCTAGGCATCAAACCCTGGCCCCTTAGTATGCTGAGCTATCTCACCAGCCCTTATCCCCATATTCTTATCTTGGGAACCAGCACAGTTTTGAAACCATAAAACTAAGTCAATTAAAAAAAAAAAAAGAAAAGAAAACTAAATCAATACAAAAATCATAGCTGCCAGGCATGGTAGCGCATGCCTGTAATCCCAGTACTCGGAGGCTGATGCAGGAGGATCGCCATGGGATCGAGGCCAGTCTGGGCTACACAGTAAGTTGAAGGCCACTCTGAACCACATAGCAAGACCGTGTCACAAAAAGAAAAGAAAAATCATGATCCACACATATCTGAGCAAGTTCAATTAATCCAAAAAGTAAAGCACATCAAATACCCAGCCTAGATCCATCACATTAGTACAGACACACAAAATCAGCTCTGCATTCTCTACTTACCCTTCCTTCAGCATCGATCACTATTTCCGACATCTTAAAGGTGACTTTTGGATTTGCTGTGCCTTTTGAAAAAGATGTAAATCAACAATAACGTATATTCAAAATTCCTCAAACTCGTTTTGCCAGATCAATCCTCTTTATAATTTTTTTTTTTTAGAACCAGGGATTGAACTCAGGCCCCTGCGCTTGCCAGGGAAGCACTTAATCCACTGAGCCACCTCCCCGGCCCCTCCTCTTTTTTTTTTTTTTAAGTGTTAAAATATTTAGTAATAGTCTTCATTTACTCAAAAAGAAGTTGATTTTAATAAGATCCACGGCATCTTCATATGACTTGGGGCATATGTGATAGAACATCATTTCACACAGTTTGAAATGCTTCTTTCTCTTCCCTCCTCTTTATAATTTAGTTAAGTGAGCAACATTGCATAAAGCCAGAGCTTTATCACACAAGAATCTGAACCACATCTCAAATTTATACATTTCAATATATTTTATTTTTTTAAATATGACATTTAAGAAAAAAGAGGCTAAAAAACACAAGGGTCAGTTTGAAATCAAGGGGAATCCTATATTCTTTTTTTAGTTAATATGCCACAAACAGTAAAACACAAAAACAATTTACTCCAACAAAAATCACTGAAAAATCTTTGGTGGGGAGGATACTTAATTATTTGTTGAAGAAAGCAGTTTTGTGGGCATCTTCACTTTAAATATAATTTAAAAGGATCACTTAACCAAAATCTTAGTGCTAATCAACAAACCATTCTTACTAAGGCTATAAATGATCAATATAGACTACACCTTCGCAGAAATAATCTTACTGGAAAAAAATGAATGAATGTAAACTCCAATGGAGTACAATACCTGTTTTAGGGTAACGGAATGAATCTGCCCTTCTTGTTTCCAACATCGGGGATGTTACGTGAATAATTTCCACTTCAGATTCATCATTTTCTTCATATAGAATTCTAAGAATTTTACCACCACTAGGAGCTTAAAAAGGAATTTAGATATTGAAAATGTGAAGGAATTATTCCAGAGAATAATCATCACTGACATTCCTTTTTTTTTTTTTTTTTTTCAGAACTGGGGTTTGAAGTCAGGCCCTTGCACTTGCCAGGGAAGCACTTATTCCACTGAGCCGCCTCCCTGGCCCGACATTCCTTCTATATTAAGAGGTCTCATACTGAAAAGTTATATAACCACACTGCCATGTATCTATTATGCAGTGCAGGGGATCAAACTCAGGGCTCTATCACACACCACCACTATGCCCATGCTGCCTTTTATGAATGAAAATCTCCCTAGTCTTTGCAGTAATAAGATGAATTACTGCTAAGTCACTTTAGCTGGTTAAAGGTTACTCTTCCTAAAGGGGAAAAGCTGAGTACATACACATACCTTTAAAATAGAGGAAAATATATTTTGAAGAACTTTACTCTAGCATGCTTTAAAATGCATTTTTTGTTGAAAAGGATTTAATTAAATTTATGTTATTTGCTGGGTGTGGTAGTGCATACCTAGAATCTCAGCACTTGAGGCAGGACGACAGCTGTGAGTTCCAGGACTAACTCCAAACTTAGCCTACACACTTGAGTTCAAGGCCAGCTTGGACTACACAGTGAGATCTTGTCTTAAAAAAAAAAATTTCTATAACATGCTACTTAAATTGTGTCTAGTTATTTTGAATGTTTTCCCTATGTCAAGATACTGTTCTAACATTTATGGCAAAACAATTTGATCTCAAAGTAGCTAAATCTAAGGTATAGCTTAAAAATAAGTACTTTATATGGTTCCTTAGAAAAATGTAAGACTAGGGGCTGGGGAGATGGCTCATGGAAAGAGTGCTTCCCTGGCAAGCGTAAGGGCCTGAGTTCAATCCCCAGTTCTGCCAAAAAAAAAAAAAAAAAAAAGAAAAATGTAAGACTGTTACCTTTAAAACTGTTAGTTAAAAAAAAGAAAAAGAAGGCAAAAAACTGTTGATCATAAAATCTATTAGTGGATCACCACCAGTATTTTTATTTATTTTTCAACCAGTATTTTAAAAATACAACAAACAGTACAGAATTTATTTTATTTTATTATGTATTTAGTACAGGGTCTACAGGGTCTCACTCCACAGATCAGACTCCTAGCGATCCTCCTGTTTTCAGCCTCCCAAGCACTGGGATTACAGGGTGCCACCATGCCCAGTCTCAACTGTCCACCTCAGCACTCCTCGGGGTGCGGGGCCTGCACGGCACGCAGGAGGATGGAACCCAGGTCCCTGCGTCTGTCTAAGCAGTCACTTTAAACAAACAGTATAGAATAACAATACCAGAATGTATTATATACAAGGGTAAATAAAGCTTCAAAGATAAATTTGCTTTATCTATACAGTGTACATAAAATGTATTAGGCCAGGAGTATAAGCAAAAAAAAAAAAAAAAAAATTGTGTTAGTTTTTGAGACAGGCTCTCACTATGTAGTTCAGGCTGGCCTTGGACTTGCCTCAGTGTCCCTGGGTGCTGGGGGATTACAGGCATGCATCACCATGACTAGTTATAAACAAAAAAATTTTTGGTACTGGAAATTGAGATCACAACCTTGGGCTTGCCAGGCAGATGCTGCGCCACTAAACTATATCCCTGGCCCCATACGGAATTTTAAACAGGATCACAGTCAAAACATTTGCAACCCATTGCTTTAGAGCGCTATTTCTGAGGCAATAAACCACTTTTTTTTTTTTTTTTGTGATACTGGAGACTAAATCCAGGGACTTGTGAGTTTTTATTTTGAGACAAGGTCTTGCTCATTTGGTAAATTGATCCAGCTGGGTTTGAACTTGTGGTCTTCCTTCCTCAGCCTTCCAGAATGCTGAGATTACAATTATGTGCCATCACACCAGACTCAGTAAATTATTTTCTAATTCACCCAGAAAAAAGAAGGAATTTTTCCCTACCTATTCATACACTGATCTGCTCATCTGTTATTTATTTTTTAGATTTTTTTTGGTGGAACTGGGGATTGAACTCAGGTCCCTGCACTTGCCAGGGAAGTACTTATTCCACTGAGCCATCTCCCGGGCCCCTCACCTATTCATTTATATTCTCTAGTCAATTATATATTTGCAATAGTATTTCACTAAGGTGTAGTATATTTCACCATAATTTGCCAAAATTTCCAAAACCAGCTTTTTCTGTTTGTTTTTGTGGTACTGGGGATTGAACTCAGGCCCTTATGCTTGCCAGGCAAGCATTTATTCTACTGAGCTACCTCTCCAGCCCCCAAAACCAGCTTTTATGGGAAAATTTGACAAAGAGAATAGATTTCAAGGCTCTGAACTACAGCATAACTTTTTACTGCAATTTATTACGATGAAATATTGTCTATATATTCTAAATAACTACTTAGTCCCAACTGTCAAAATTTTAGAATCTACTATTCACAGTTCGGAATCTTTGGTACTTCAATCAACCCATGACATAATGTGCTTCTTACTTCTTTCAGCTTCTGGGCACCACCAATAGCCAGAGTATCTGTCAAACTCTTCTTGGAGCACAAAGGTCGCCACCCCAGCTGACCTGGGATCTTCTTCCATGTTAGCGAGCTCTGGACAAACATACAGAGAAATTATCACAAAAGCTCTTTTGAAAGAAACAAAGCAAAATGATCCAGTTATTTTGGAAGGTGTTTAAATGGAGTCATGAATTCTGGAGCTGAATACACTGAGTTCAAATCTGGCCTCCAGTATTTACCTAATGCCTGGCCTTGGGCAAATCACCCCATCTCACTCCAATGAAGCATCCTGTTTGTTAACTGAAGAGAAAGCCCTCCTTGGTGTGTTATAAGGATTGAGTTAGTTAATTCACAGAAAGCACTTAAAGCCTGGACATGCTCTCTAATACGACAGTATTTGTTTTCCACTTACCTAGGATCACTAAGAGACAATATATGTAAAGGCTCACAGTGACCTGTCCCTCTCTTACATAAGTAAGAGAATCACTTAAAAGCCTTTATTTGGTGAGGAAGATACTTTCTTATCACATGTCAGTAGTTTATTCCTAACCTGCATTCTTATACCACATGTTTTTCACCCTCTCCTCTGTTAATTGGACATTTAAAAGTCTGTTTCTGGTTTTTGCCGGTTATGAATGAATGTGCTATGAATATTCTCGCAATCTTTTTATTTTTTGCAGAACTGGGGATTGAACTCAGACCCTTGCGCTTGCCAGGGTAGCAGACAGTCTTTTTTGCAGTACTGGGGATTCCCTACCAGGCATGTGCTTATGACTTTGAGCTATCACCCCAGCCCACATACAATCTTTTGTGGAAATGTGTTATCATTTCTTTTGAGCAAATACCTAGGAAGATAGTAAAATACATGTATGTTTTAATTTTGTAAGAAACTGTCAAATAATTTTGCAAAGTATTTGTATTACTTTATACCCTTACCACATCACTATATGGAAGTTCCTCTCCAACATTTGGTGTAATCTAGTTATATGCAGTAATACTTATTGATTGCTTAATTTTTTACTTATAATTGGTTGACTAAGTGGTGCTAGGAACTGAATCTGGGCCTTTGCACTACACTACCATCTCCATGCCTTTTACTATTTTTTGAGATTGGGTCTCACTCAGTTGTTAAGTTGCACCAGCTGGGCTGAAACTTGCAAGCTTCCTGCTTCAGCCTCATAAGGTGATGGGATTATAGGTGTATTCTACTTACCACGTCCAATTATAATTTTAATTTTCTAGATAAGTTTTTCGGGGGGGGGACCCCTCCCCCCCTGTAGCATGCTGCTATATGTTGCCTGAGCTGGTCCTCCTGCTTCAGCCTCCCAAGTACCAGGACTATAAGCACATAATGCCACACTTGGCTTATGTAAGACTTTATTTTTATTTATACATCACCTAACCTGAATGTACAGTATGAACCTACTCCCTAAGTGAAAAAATTCTGAGTTTAGAAGAATTTGGAGCTCAGAATTTTAGGTGTTTTCCACATACTGCATATCTAGATGTATTACATAACATCTCCATCAGAGTAACCAAATAAGCTGTAATCAAACTCCCCAATATTACTGCAGCAAGTTTGTGAAGAGGCAAGCTAAGTAAGATTAAGATTGTAAATAACCTCTGGCCAGTTTGGATCAGGCTTTCCTACCAAGTAAGTTTTAGCACCAAGCTAATAAAAATTTATCTGGGGCTGACTAGATAGCTCAGTGGTCTAAATTGCCTGCTTAGGCAAGCTTAGGCAAAGCACAGGGATAGTGGTTCAATCCCCCCAGCACCACATGCCGGCCAGCCCCGCCCCCAGGGTGGGCTGAGCTGGCCACACACACAAAAAAGAAAGAAAGAAAGAAAGAAAGAAAGAAAGAAAGAAAGAAAGAAAGAAAGAAAGAGAATTTATCTGTTTTCAGACCTCTGAATTTTGGAATAACAGCAAAATTCAGTATTTCATTTTCTTGGGCCTTTCAACTATCCCACAATTGTAACTCCAGTTCTATTTTACACTTTGACTCTTTTAATTTTGGTAGCAAGAATTGAACTCAGGACCTTGCACTTGTCAGACAGGCACTGTGCCACTGAGCTACATCTCTGGCCCTCTGGTCTCCTTTAGATATGAACACAGGTACCATTTGTTGGTATCTATCACTTACTACAAACCCCAGTTATTAAGAGTTACTTACTGGGCTGCATATGGTGGTACATGCCTAGAATTCCAACTTTCTGGGAGGCTGATACAGAAGGACTGCAAATTCAGGCCCAGCCTTGGCAACTAAACCACTCAGCAAGACTCTGTCTCAAAATTTAAAAAAAAGGCTGGGACATGGCTCAGTGTGAAGGCCCTGGATTTAATCCCCAGCACAGCCCCTCACTATTCCTCCAAAACTTATTTATTCATTGAATAAATGTGATCATCTACTTTCCCATGCACATGCTGACTGGCCAAGCTCACTTTCTAAATGGATTTTGACGTACAGCCTACTGTGAATAGATTGGGTTGATAATGGCTTATAAAGTCCTAAACTCTCCACAAATATTAACTCACTGAAATCACCTAACAATTTTATATGTTGTTATACAATTAATGTTTTTATAGATGTAGAGGTAAGTTAAATAAATTGATGAGATCACAGAATTAATACTTTGGGACTTCAACCAGATACTGATTCTATACTGTATTCTCGACCAGGGATATAGCTCAGCAGCACAGCACCTGCTGGCAAGTATACGGCTGTGAGCTCCATTCCCAGGACCAACAAACAACTCCCCCACCCACAAACTTCTGTACTGTACTCTATCTGTACTCTTAAATATAAATTTTTTTTAAATTGGTACTGGGAGTCAAACTCATGACCTCATGCTTGCAAGACAAGTGCTGTGCCACTGAGCTAAATCCCAAGCCTCCAAATTATTTTTAAATAATACTGTCAATACATTATACACCCAGATGCGCAGTAAAGAAAAAATACAATTATAACATTCCTCGGGAGTGTAGTACTAGTGCTCTCTACTTTTAAATTCTGTTGAGCTTCATAAATCCTGTGTGGAAAGCAATTTCACAGAAGAAAAGAATAAAGGAAGGAAGGAAGGAAGGAAGGAAGGAAGGAAGGAAGGAAGGAAG